ACATACATGTTGATGGTGGGGAAACTGGAGCACCCAGAGGAGAACACGCAAGCTCCACACAGAAAGGCCCTGCCCCAGCCGGGATTCGAACAAGGTTGTGAGGTGACAGTCCTAACCACTGAGCCTCTGGGCCACCCAGAAGGCTCGTGCTGCTTTTATTTCTGGTTGGCTAGATTACTGTAACGCTCTGCTCAGAGGAATAACTGAAAGGCAGAAGGCCTTACATGCACTGGAACCAGTATCTCTCTGACATGTTTGTGAGCTATGAACCAGCAAGACCCCTCAGGCCGTGTGGAACAGGTCTTCATGATAACTGGTGAATCTGCCTTTAGCTTTATGCTCCAAGCAGCTAGACTGTCCTAATGAAGCTCAGTGTCAGTGTGTCTGTCTGTGTCTGTCACAGGAGAGAAGAGAAAGACTGCATGTTCAATATGACCATAAATCACAGCAACATCCTGTTTCCTGCTAATCTCAATCCCTGGTCTAAATATTTATAGAATTTATCTTCAAAATCATATTACTGCATATCCTAATATATGACTCATTTGGATTTAGAACCAGGTTTTTGGGGCCAAATATGTAATTGTCACCTATTCCACGAACCGCCACTGTATGCAGTTGGTTTATGTGTCTTACTCGGTTGTTTCTTCATCATCTTCCTGGTTAGCATCAGTATGAGCACTCCAAAGATTATAAAAGGTAAAACCAGAATCCAATAAAGGGAATTTCCTGGACAAAGAGAGAAAAGGACAGAGGTTAACAGGTCATACAGCTGCTCACATCTGTCCAGTGAATAATTAGTGACTGACCTGAAAACTGAAGGTACAGAAAAAGATGTTCTAAATGAAATAAAGTTGGGGTATTCTGCAGTCTGGAAAAGCAGACAGGAGATGATGCACTACTGTGGACACACTGTGTTACACCAGAATCAGCTGTGTGGGTCCTAATGTTGTGAGATCAGACTGAAATAAATTTTCACGTTGCCAAATATGTCAAAGTTGGTGCATGCTTGTGTTTGTCAGGGCTGCTGCTGTAACTCTGACCCAAACAGCTGGTCTGCAGTAACACAGGCTCATGTGTACAAAGTTCTATGATTAGTGCCAAAGAAAGAGGCTGTCAGCGAGGAAAAGTGGTGAACATATTCTTATTATCGCACTTGGAGCTTTTTTTATGTGGCAAAGAACTTTTCTGCCGGCCCATCTATAACAGTGCATTGCTCTGCTTCACTATCTGCCTCTCCCAACTGGGGGTGCACTGACCTCCACCTGCTGCAGGTAACACACTGACTATGGAAAAGTACCTCATGCTAAACCACTTCAAAACACCAGAACTCATCATATAATTATAATAGTTCTGTTAGTTGAACATACGTGTGTTTACTATAAAACCGCTTTGTGTCAAGAATTTGGAACCTTATTGAGGTTTTCTATTAACTATTAGATCATTTTATTTTTTATTAAATGTCTCAAAAGCTTGATGTTCATACTGTCGTAGCAATGGACACAATATTTACACTCTGAATCTTACTTAAAACATATGTATGGTAAATTGACCAGCAGTATGGTTAGTATAAC